CGTGCCAGCTGCTCCGACTGGGATGCCTTTGGCTCTCAACGCACCATGTCGGAACCGCTGGGCCGCGAGTCTTCACAGGCGACGTGGTCACCCCCTATGCCCTTCCTGCGCAGTTGTTGCTGCTTTCCGGGCGGTAGTTCGTTGGCTGGGCGTGTGCAATGCACGGCCGGCCTTCGGGAGACCGACCCTGGGCGCTCCTCCTCCTCCTCCTCCTCCTCCTCCTCCTCCTCCTCCTCCTCCTCCTCGGGTCGTCCACGGCCCTGGTGGACACCGCGCGCCCCAGGGTGCCCCTCCAGGGTGCGGGTTGCAGGCCGCACCCTCTGCAAACCACGCCCTTCGGAGTCGCCGACTCTGGGGGGAGGGTGGAGGATAACGGAGACGGTGATGGCGATGGTGATGGTAAAGACGATGATGCTGATGATTCAAGCGGGCCCTGGGCGCAACGGGTCCTGGAGGTTCTGAACCGTTCTCGGGCTCCCAGGGGGTGTTCTTAAGTCGGGCGTGTCCCAAATGCAGGAGGAACGTTCAAACATAGTCAAAAAATGGCCAGGGGAAGATTTCTCGACTATGTGTAAACATTTTTGGATATTCGTGCCTACTTTTTTGGTTTTCCCACCAAGATCAGCCTGCAGGGGGACATGCCCGACCTAAGGGTGCTCCCTGGGGCCCTTGCGCCGTCAAAAGACGGGTCGGTACGATGAGCTGGCCCTACGGGAAGGCCCCAGGGGTCCTTTCCCCTCCTCCTCCTCCTCCTCCTCCTCCTCCTCCTCCTCCTCCTCTTCCTCCTCCTCCTCCTCCCCCTCCTCCTTCCCTCCCCTCCTCCGCCTTCTCTTCCTCCTCCTCCTCCTCCTCCTCCTCCTCCTCCTCCTCCTCCTCCTCCTCCTCCTCCTCTCCTCCTCCTCCTCCTCCTCCTCCTCCCCGCGGCGATGGCTGCCCGCAGCCTGGAGGCGTCTGCCCGTCCACCCGTGAAGGGACGCGCCGGGCGCCTGCAGGGTAGGCGCGACCCTGCATATGATCCCCCAGGCAGTCCCCGGGGAGTCCCAGGTCAGCATCGTCTGACATGACCTTACGAGGAAAATCCTGCACGTCCTGCTCCTCCTCCTCCTCCTCCTCCTTCCCTCCTCCTCCTGCTCCTCCTCCTCCTCCTCCTTCCTCTCTCCTCCTCCTCCTCCTCCTCCTCCTCCTCTCCACCTCCTCCTCCTCCTCCTCCTCCTCCTCCTCCTCCCCTCCTCCTCCTCCTCCTCCCCTCCTCCCCTCTCCCCCTCCCTCCCCGTCCTCCTCCTCCTCCTCCTCCTCCCTCCTCCTCCTCCTCCTCCTCCTCCTCCTTTTCCTCCTCCTCCTCCTCCTCCTCCTCCCCCTCCCCCTCCCCCTCCCCCTCCTCCTCCTCGCACCAGGGGATGGCCCCAAGGGTCCTCTTTACAGCGCCCGGGCTTGAGTTTCGGGCTCGAGGAGGTGCTCTCGCTCCCCGCCGATGATGTTCAGGAGGGGAAAAAACACACAGACACAATTAATCGTCGATTCCCAGGGGGGAATACGAAAATCCGGAAGATATGGACAAATATGGGGAGTCATGGGATTTGTGTGTATTTAAATGTGTGTCCCAGTGCCCCTTGAGATGTGGCCTTCTGTCGCAGCCAATGTCGGATTCCCCCCTCGATAGTTCGAGCCTGCCGTTCAGACAAGAAGGGGAACTCGGGGGTGCATTCCCAGGTAGTCGTTCAGGCGCACCACTGTCGAGGCTGGACGCCCCCCCGAACGGCCTGTGCAGTCGAAGGTCCTGCAGAGTCGAGGGCTGAGGATGCCAAATGCCTCGACATTCTGCCTGGGCTTCGGCGAAGGAGGGCTCCGGCCCTTCATCAAGCGGGGTGTGCCCGATCCAGGCGATCGCAAACATGGATCAAGGGCGCGTGGATTAGCGACGGGTCCCGTTCCCATGGGGAATCGCGGACTTCCGCCGCCGAGCGAGGCGGGACCAGCCGCATTTTGGGGAGGGCACCTCCCCCGATCCATGGATTTGGCGACTGCGCTAATCCATGTTTGCGCGCCCCCGACCGATGTCGGGGGCCCCTGCAAGCGGTGCGGTGACCACACCGTGTGGTGAGCTTGCGGGGATTCGGGGTGACCGCGCGGGTCTGGGACTTGGGCCGTTCTCTCCGAGGATGTCTCGGGCGGCTGGTATGAAGTCGGGCACGTCCCTCGGGAGAAATATTCGTAAATAGTAAAACAAGAGTCTTGGGATTTTTCCTGAAACAAAATAATAACTCAATATGTATATATACACACATATCTATATCTATCTATCGATGTATATATATATATATATATGTATATATGTATATATGTATATATGTATATATGTATATATGTATATATGTATATATGTATATATGTATATATGTATATATGCTTATATGTATATATGTATATATGTATATATATGTGTATATATATGTATATATGTATATATATATATATATATATATATATATGTATACGTGTATATATATAAAAGGGAGATTAATTCAAACTGATTTTGTTATTTGTTGACTGTGGTTTCACTGTTTGTCATTGCTCGTCCCAAACGGGCCCAGCCTGTGGGAGGACACGCCCGACCTGAGCCTGGGGCCTCTGGGGCCCCCCAACACACCGTGCGGTGGCGGCCTGGGCGGCGAGGCCTCCGGGAGCCCGGGGCCACCGCCCGCTCTGCCACCGCACCGCTCTCGGATCCCCGACGCCGCGACTTGCCGCCCACCACGCCGGCCCACCGGGAGGCCTCGCGCCCTGCCCGGGTCGGCACTCGAGCGGCGGGCGTCGGTGCGAGCGGGGACCAGCGATCTGGCAGGAGCCTGCCTGGCCAGGGGCGCACTGGCCCTGGTCGGGGCGCAGGATCCTGCAGGACCCTGCAAGGCCCGACTGGCCCGGGTCTGGGGACGCGCGCCTGTCAAGGATAGGGGGCCACATGCGAACCCTACCCCTCCCTATCCCCCACGATTTCTGAGGGGGAGCGTGGGGTAGGGTTCGCATGTGGCCCCCTAAAGGATGACATCTAGAGTATCAGGTGTGTCTCTGTCCGTCCCCTCCCGTCCCGACCCCGTGGCCCCCAAACCCGCCGCACCGTGCCGGGACCCCTTGGTGGCGATCGGCCAGGCCGCCAGCGCGGCCGGCACGGCATGAGGGGCCGGGAGCCCACGCGCGGCCGCGGGAGGAGGCGCGCGCACGCGCGGCGGGGGGGGCCCCGCGCCGTGGAAGGGCGTGCAGCTGCCGCGGGGCCGTGGGAGGGAGGCCCAGGCCCAGGAGCACCCTGCCTGCCTCCAGGGTGCCCTGGGTGCTCTGGGTCTCTCAGGAGGGAAAAAAGCACACAGACACAACTAATCGTCGATCCCCCAGAAAAGATGGGAAAATATGGGAAGTGGGGGGGAAGACAAAAACCCAGGAAATATGAGAAAATATAGGGAATATTTTGATTTGTGTGTATTTATTTGTGTGTCCTGGGGCCCCTTCAGTCTCGTTTCGGTGGTTCTGCTGTGGAAAGCGCGAGGTCCCCCCAGCGAGATTCAGTGGGTGTCCTGGGTTCCCAGGGTTGGGTTTCTGGTGGAAGGTTTCTCGTGGTCGGGGCCCGTCTGCACCTCGAGGCCCTGGCGTCGCAAGTTTCTTTCGAGTCGGGCGTTTCCGCATGGCTTCGGGTCCCAGGGTCCTCGTAGATCGATCCGGCTGGAAAAATGCAGACGGTGTCCGTGGCCTTGGCCGTGATTTGCCACGATGTTGCAATTTTCCCCCTAGGGTCCAGGATGGTTCTGGCCAGGCATGCAGGGTCCAGGTCCATTCCGATTCGATGGACCCGATTCGATTTCGAGTTCCCAAGTGTGGATCCGATCCGATTTCGATTTTCCAGCGATCTGGCGTGGCCCGATGCCTACACGGCGCTTTTGTGCGTCTTTGCCGGTCGATCCGTTTCGATTCCGACTCTGTATCGATGCAGCCTAATCCGATGCACTTTCCGATGTGATCCGACTTTCCAGGTCTATTCTCTGACTGATCCTGGGCATGCTGGCGGTGGTGGATCGGAATTTCTTATAAACCGAGGCCCAGGCTCTACACACCAGGAGCGGCAGAGGCAGGCGGTTTCGCCGAAAGGATGTCCTGCGAAGCTTGGAAACGTGGTCGGACTACGCCCCACACTGCTAGGCGGACTCCGCATGCGCACACAGCTCGCGATTGCTGGTGGGCTCGTTTTCCACCGCCACCACCATGAGTAGGAGGGGAAGGGGGTCTTCCTTCTTCTTCTTCTTCTTCTTCCTCCTCCTTCTCCTCCACCTCCGCATCCTCCACCTCCTTCCCCCCTCCAACTTGTGGTGGTGGTGGTGGTGGTGGAAAACCGGCCCATCAATTGCAGTCAAGTGTTGGTCTCCATCCTTTCCGTGCGTGCGGCCGTGGCGGATATTTGGGGCCCTCGTCGGGCCTCCCCGAGCCCGCGCCAGGTGCCTGCAGAGGAAGCCTCCGGGGACGTCCAGGGACTTCCGGTTTCTAGGCCAGAGCTTATGCAGATCGGCTGCCCGGGGGGGCCCACGTCCCACAACCCCGGGATGCAGTGGGGCCGTGGGGTGCCCCAGCGCATCCCTATCCGCTGGCCGCCTGGGGCCATGGGATAGCGGTCTCACTCGTGGTGGATCTGTTCAAGCCCTCGGGGGATCCCCGCGGGAGCCCCCGCGGGGACCTCCAAGGGTCCAGAGGCCTCCGAGAGCGTGAAGGGAGGTGCAGTGCAGCCGTGGTTTGCCTCGGATGGGGGGCCTTTTGTTACCAGCCTGGAACATATCCCTATCCCTATGCTGGGCACCTCCTCATCACGATGCCAATCTTAGGGATTCCCTTATTTTTTGAGGGCGCATCCCTAAGATTGTCATCGCCTTTTGGCGTGTCAATGTTAGGGATAGGGATACATTCGAGGCTGGTAATTTTGTGCTGCAGCGAGGGGCACCCTCGCAGCGCCGCGCCCCCCGGAG